TTTTTTTTATAAAATTAATTTACTGATGTATAACCACAAGATGTTTTACAACATGATTCAATAGCTTCAAATATATCAGCAGCCATAAATAAAAATATATCATCATCTGTTGCTTTTGATAAATACATTATTGATTCAATATGTTCTAAAAGATTTAAATATTTATCAATAGATTAGAAAAATAAATATTGGTACCTGGCCGTAATGGATAACCTTCTCTTCCTTGCATACAATCTTGGTTTACAAGATTATAAAATTCTGGCATTCCACCATATTTTCTCCACATTGCATGATAAGCATATAATGTTTCCTTGGCTCGATCAAGTTGTCCAACCAAAGTCTATAGAAACAATAATAAGAAAATATCGAACTATGCTTTTCATTGCAAGACGTTTCTTGAAATAAGTATATCTCGAATTTAGTGCTTTCTTTTCAATATTAACTAACATTACTAAAATCAATGAAGCGATTTTAACTTTGGCATACATACAAAGCAAGCGAAAGAATAATTGCCCACGAAAAAGCGACACATGTATAGTTATATATATATATGAAGTTATCTCACCAACAAACCTGGATAAAAAGCATCCAGTGATGCGAATAATGGCATTGTCTTTCGTCCCTGTTGATAATTTGCATAGACAAACCATCCAGTTCCATCACTTAAATGCTCATCAATTGCTTTTATATATTCTAAAATATTTATTTAAAAATTAAAATTAAATATTTTATTTATTTATTTATTTATTTACCATTCATCATATTCATTAACTCGGGTTGTCGAAATAATATTGCACCTTTTACTAAATATTCAAAATAAGAATCAACACCGGAACCAATTGTACAATCATTTGCTGTCCATTCACCTGTTTGAATATTTATATGATTTCCTACCTAAATAAATATTTAATTAAAATAAAATTCTTATTATGAATTATTTTCATTCTTACAAGATTAAGTGAAGAACGTTTTGACCAAAGACTTTGTAAAGCTCTTAATGCTACTTGTTCATATATAGGATCACCAGTAAGACGAGATAATGTTCCAAATTCAACTAAAAATGTTCCACCACCTGCAGTACATGTTACATTTGTTTCATCGACTGGTACACCCCAAACCAGATTGACTGTACCATAAGGTATACCTTTAAATAAAACCGTATTGAATAAAAATAATAAAATAAATTTTTATTACCTGTTGCAGTATCAAAAGCTATGGAAGAAATAAAAAAAATAAAAGTCAAATTCATATTAAAATGATAAGTTATTATTTCTTTACCTGGTAATAATTTATTAGCAAGGGCAACAGCAAGTTCAAGTAATGGCCCTGTACATGGCCATGTATCACTTACAGAAACATTCATACGTTTAGCAAGAAGATGAGCAGAAAGAAGACCACCGATAACTAAATTAATTATATTAATATTTAAAAGAATATTTTCTAGATTAGAACAGATATAATAATAATAATACCTCGAATATTAGTTTCAAACACACTAACATTAATATCACGTTCAATATCCAAATTTTGAATAAGTATATAAACTCTAGCAAATTCTGTACTATTACCAATTGTAGCTAATGTATCAATTGCATCAACAAGTGATAATGAATAACTATATAATAGTAAAAATAAAATATATACATAATTTTTTTTCTTTTCTTTACCTTCCCCATGTATCATAACTAAAATGTAAAAAAGAAATTTTAATTTTGTTAAAAAAAAGCAAAATATTTTACCCATCACAAGTTAATGGGCGTAATTCATCATATGGATATGCATATTTTAAATAGGAATCATATGCATGATGGAACATTTGTTTAACACGATTTCTATACAATGAATATATACATTTTAATAAAAAGAAAACAAAAAAAAAAGAATTTACTTGTAATATAAACGTTTTTGTTTGGAAAACTGTCCCTCATTCAAATGCACATTAGAAATAAATAGAGATATTAAAATAAAACTAAATTTTATATCACAGAACATATTTGAAACATGATTTGAAACAAAAACAAACAAAAATTTATTCTAATCTCATCTCTAGATCAATCCTATTGTGTTTTCTTTTTCTTCTTGTTTACCTATATTAAACAGATTAAGTTAACTTTGATAGTATTGGTTTATTAACAACCAATAAAAATTTATCGAAACAAAATATTTTTATAGGTGTGAAATAAAATCCAATTAGAAACATTGTTCTGTTTGTCTATTATATTATATTTGCGAATAAATAGAAATTCAATTTGATTTACAATGGGAAACGATGTTTCATCAACAACCGCACGAACACTTATTCCATTAGATGATTCGGCTTGTTGGCAGCTCTATAATGGAGTTAATGAACGATCAGAACCTATTTCATTTTTTATAGCTAAACAAACATTTTCTGTTGAATGTCGACGATCAATTCAAGTAAACTGTTCTTTTTTTTATTATAAATAATTTCAATATTAAAAACTAATCTATTTAGTATCTAAAAACTATTCGTCATCCAAATATTATTAAATTTTTAACTGGTTTTAAAACATTTGCTGATCAGGATAGTTTTATTGCTGATTGTGTACATCCATTAGCCAATAAATTAAATAATAATGATATTGATTCAACAGCTAAACTTTGTTTAGGTCTTTATCAATTATCTCAAGCTTTAGAATTTCTTCATGAGAAAGTAAACATAAAAAAAAACATTACTCGAAGTTTATGTTTTTTCATTTTCTATAGGCATCTATTAGTCATAACAATGTTTGTTTAATATCACTTTATATATCTCTCAATGGTATATGGAAATTAGGAAATTTTGAATGTGCATGTCGTTATGATAATCTTAATAAAAAATATTTATCAAATTTAAAAATTATTCGATCAGAAGAATGTATAACACCTGAAGAAGATGAAAAGGTTTAATATTATTTCAATCGAGAGTAGATATATATATATGTTGGGGTCAAAATTGGAATTGGGTCAAATTTAGAATTTGACCAGACAAAATTGGAATTCTAGTTTTGACCAAGCAGAATTAGAATTCTAATATAGACCAATATTTTCTTTGACAAAATCGGAATTCTAATTTTGACCAGACAAAATTAGAATTCTATTATAGACCAGTATTTATTTTTTTGGGCAGA